ATTTGTACCTTTTGAGTAATTGCACTGACAATTGCATTTTTAGGGGCTTCTGGGGCTTTTTATGACTCAAGAAAAGTGCCCTAATCCTGGGTGAAAGCCACAAAGGACGTGGTAGAAACCTACTCATGAATTCCTTGCACACCCATTAACTCCTGTGGGAGACTTGGGTAGGCAAGGAACTCAAGATTAGTCCTCAGAGAAACAGCCTGAGTCAAACCCTGTTCAGCCATTCCCAGTGCATCCTTCAGTGAATGAACACTGGCATCAATGGGATTGTAGAGGGTATAAGTCAGGACAGAATTTGTCCCTTTGCAGGTCAATAGCCCTGGTTCAGCTGTGAGGATGGAAACAGCATTCAGCAAAAAAAAAAAGAAAGAAAGAAAGAAAAGAAGGAGGATGAAAAGCAAACCTGAGTGCCAGCCAAGCTGGAAACACTTATAAAAGCTGCGGGAGAAAGATCAGAATAAAAATGAGGTGGAGGGAAGTTTTCAAGGGACAATTTGCCTACAGAGCATTTGTGTACATCAGACGTGGAGCCGATCTTGAGCTGGACTTTGGCCAGATTTCTCATCCTACTCTTTCAGGATTACAAGCACCTCATTGTACTCAGCTAACAGCAGTCACTGCTCAGTAACCCTTTGAGTCGTTGCTGAATGACTTAGGGAAGCGAATGCTCTGCCCACTGCGGCTCTTCACATTTTTGCCCCTCAAATGTGTAAAAGTGAAAGGCATCCTCGGTGTGAAGGCACTCTGTGATTTACCCTCTCTCCACTAGATGCTACACTGAGACCACCAAACATTTATTGAGCCAAATAACACGTTTGAAAAATTAGCGCAGAATAAAGTAACTACAGGTTAGCATACTGGTTTGTTGATGGTAGGATAGCACCGCTGTCTGAATCAGAGTGACTCCTGATTTATAGCAGAGAAAAACCAGACCTTAGACTACAAGCTGTTGCTATTGTTCACATGGAGTCATACTGTATACTGTCTCAGAGGTGTGAAATGGTTTATCGAGACCATTTCACAATATCTGAAACCCACAGAGCAGAATATTTCTCAGTATCACGCACTCCTCATTCATTTTTCCAATACACTTCATCTTAGCGAACAAACCAGGCATATCTAACTGGAAAAGCTGGACGTTCAAGAATCCCTTCAATGAAGCTTGTAGTTCATGGTTAACATTAAAATAGTATTACAACCAGGCATTATTTTCTCTGATGTTGTGCAATCTGTTGACACTGGCAGTTGGGGAAATGCTACCCAGCACATCTCAGAAAGTCTGCCAGAGTCTTCCAGCCTGTAAGTGTTGTACATTGTGCAATACACTGGAGCAAGGTGAATAAGATAGGATTACTTTTCAGCCAACGCAGGCCAGACCAAGCATCTCTGCACAGGCTTTTTGGTATGATGAGCTGATCTGATAAATACGTAAGACTCGCAGAGAGGCCTCAACTTAGACAAAGCAAACCAAAGTATAGTGGGCTTTTTTTGCCTGAGTTCTTCAGGCTGGCCTATGACAGCAGTTTGCTGACCCCAGCCAGAGTCACAGAGGTGCGCTGTTCTGCATCATCTTATCACGTGTAATGTGGTGTGGAAGGGCGATCAGCACAGAGCTTGTTAAAGCACAACTGTTACCACTTTCAGTGTCTCACGGACAAGTGACAAATGTACCGTAATTTGGTGATATTTAAATATATCTTGGTTGAAATGTGAAGTCAGCCTCCTCTCTAGGAAAAAAAAAGGCATCCATTCCTTTCTAACACTGCTATTGCTTTGATCTTATCCTCAGGTTTTTTAATACGCCCATGTGCATGCAACCTGGGACAAGGACTGGACGAGGAAGCAATGTCCTACTAAAGATAAACGGAGCATTAGCTGAGCAAAGAGTACTCCGTTTACTGGTTAGGGACCAGATCCTCAGCTGGTGTAAATTTAGCATAGCTCCATTGACTTCAGCAGAACTGTGATTTATACCAGCTGCAGGCTTAGGCCAGATGTTCAGCAAATTGCCATTGGATCCTGGCTGTACCCGACAGGGGGTCATCATCAGCTTAATGTGACAAAGACTTGGAGTCAGGGAGCGGATGAAAAAACCCCTCCCTTTCCTTTGAATAGCTACCATAAAGTTCAGGCCAGTGACAAGTTATAGCTTTACCCTGAGCTTTGGCCTTTCTCTGTTCTGGTTCAGGCCACAGTGTTCATTTTGGCAGCATGCCACTTGCTTAATACAGCCCTGTGGCAGGTGCGGGAGACTTCTGCAGGGTCAGGAGAAAAGGCAGCAGATTCAGAACTCCTGGCAGTTTGGTTTAGAAAGAAACCTGCATCCTTTACGGCTGATTGCATTCAAGAGGTAGCATTAAAAATAACCTAGTCTATTGATTATTTACCTGGGTCACTACCTCTACACGTAAAGCCAAAGCAGGGCATTGGAGTGGGTTGTTATTCCCTGTCCATCCGAACAAAAGGGCATGACTTGAATAAAATGGAGTAAGCTTCATAATGATCTGTGGAAATCAGGAAGCTGCCATTTGCAGGAGGATTGGATGCCTCAGGGGAATGGTAAATGGCATGCAGAGCCTTTAATCTCTAGCTGACTGGTTCAGCTTCAGTCCAGGTCAGTGCTGACTAGAAGCTCTTACACCGAGGTCAGCTCAGTGGCCTGTATGAACGAGCTTAGTGATTTAGTCCTACGGCCAGCGGACACGGCATCCACATCACATAACCCGACCAGAACTACCGCTGGCTGGCAATGCTTTCGGCAGTCCCTGCTGAGCTGCCAGTCTCGCTAGACCGGACGCACTGAAACTCCTCCAGAGAAACACTGAGGCCTGGTGGGGACGGGACAGGAGACAACTTTTGGCAGCTGCCCAGCGTATCTGCGATTTGTGGACAAGTCACTTCTCTAGCCCCCCTGAGCTATCGGTGTAGCACATTACAGGCCTTTGCCTGTGGGTCAGTCTCTGAGGACCATGAGAAACTGTGCAGGGGACTTCCTGACAAGAGGGACTTTGCAACAAGGGACAACGCAGAGGTCGGCGGCAGAGCTGAGCTGACTCTGGTGAGGCCTCACCTTACCGGCTCCTTCGTGAAGTTGATGGTGCCTCCAGGTGGAACGGGGCAAGTCGCTGCCTTGCAACTGGAGGCAGACTGGCACAGATACTACTGCTTGCTGATCCAACGTGTGATTGGGGTTTGGCGGGAGCTGGCGTAGCCACAGCCCTATTCCTTGTTGGACATCCTCCCTGGGGCGTGGGAGGAGAACTGGACAAAGATACCAGGAAGTGAGAAGGAGACTTCATCTGATTTGCACATCTTGCTGCTGTGCTTTCCCAAGCTTCTGTGTTCCCTCCCTCCTTGGCAAGATTTCTTTGTCCTTA